CGGTGAGCTCCAAGCTGGTTGTACGGTCTCTTCCTGCACAGATGCCACTGGATCGGCTTCACAGCACCATTACTCTGCAGGATTGACCCCCATTGTGCCTCCACACATTTCCCTCAGCCCAGCATACATCCCCCATGCCACTGGTGGTGCCTGCAGGACGTTGAGGAAAGGTCATCCCCCATACACAGATGAGCTTGTGTTTTTTTATTACTCTTGTGAGTGTATTTTATCCTTTACCATTAAATACAGTTTTAATCACTGCACTTAGATGGGTGCCTCCTGTTTCTTTCCTTTTGTTCTTGCATACAGAGTTGGCTTTTCTCCTGGATGGCTGCTGCTAATTTGCGCTAATCTTTGTGCTGATTGTCTAAAGACTTTTTGTGTGCTTATGAACATTCTATTCCACAGTGCTTCATATCATTGCTATTCCCTGCATCATTTCATATACATATCTTGTTTACTTCATCTGTGTGTGCCAGAATTACCTCTTTCATGCACAAAAAAGCCCGCCTAGAATTTGCCAGGGCCCATGCTGAAAAAGAGGAAGAGTACTGGAACTCCGTACTCTGGAGTGATGAGACCAAGTTAACCTCCCTAGCGGTCTGATTATGTCAGTATTTCTGTGTTCAAAGCAGTAAATTTTTTTGCATGGAAATATGTTTTTTTTTATTGTAGGCCTGTAGTTTTTAGGATAACTCACTGAAATCTGTCCGAACAAGAGTCTAGTAAACATCCCGGGTATGATGAAATTTGAAACACAAAATCATAAATTATAATTTAATAAATAATTATAAAAAATAATAATATAATAATAAATTTTTAATTCAATAATGTAATCAAACCAAAAACACTGAAATTTGAAATAGAACGCCAAGTTCGCACATCACTGAGCAAAGTCGCAAAATAATTTTTAGTGTCTGATGATGAATTTCCCCAGGAATCATTATCACTCAATTCTGCAAGTGGTTCTAATTTACTGTCGCTGTTCTCTAGCTGGTCTAAAACCGCTTTTGACCAAAAGGAATGCTTTTTGGACGCCATGGACATTTCTCAGTTTCCAGGCAGAAAGAACAGTAAAAATGCAGACAGGGCACAGGACAAAGCACTAGGAACAAAATGTATGTGAAATGGTTTGATACAGTAATGTTTTACTATGTGATTTTAGTGTATTTAGTGAATGTAACTTTTTGACATTTTTAAATTTCCCACCAGTTACGTCCCTCGTACGTCCCGACGTCGCAGGGAACGGAACCCAGAAGACAGATGCCGTTATCGGCCGGAGGAGATGGCAGGGGATGCTGCATGGGGGACATCGCGGGAGCGCAGGACAAAGTAAGTGCAGAAGGGATCCCAAGTGTAGATCGGGGTTACCGCTTGTGGTGCTGAAACTTTACCCCGAGCTACACTAGGGAATACCTCCAGGGAGGTTAAATGATTTTGGAACTGATGGCTTCAAAACTGTATGGTGTTGCAAAGGTGAGAAGAAAAATGCATGGTGCCTACAGTGAAACATGGTGGTGGCCCTTCTGTGGGGCTGCATGAATTCTGATAAGTTGAACATCACTCTCCATCCAGCATCCAGGCTCTAAAAGAGGTCGTTTTTGAAGAATGGAAAAAGATGTTGCAATATGTCGCCAACTTGTTCATTCTTTTACAAAGGGTTTTATTATAGAATAAGCAGAGATAAACAAACATTTCGAGAAACATATACATTGACCAACAAATATGAGACATACAGGGCAATTGAGAAATATTTCAGAGCATGTACTGGTAGAAACATAAGCATTACCTGAATATTTAAGTGCCATAAAAGAGAAGACAGGGAAGGGGAGAGAGAAAAAAAAAAGGGAGTAGGGGGAAGACGATGAGCAAACATTTGGAGGTCAATAACAATGCAAACTCTAAGAGAAAGTTTTGCTATATCAGCATATAGAAAACAGGAGAGGCATGAAATAAAGCCTCTCCAAATGTTAATATATATTCCAGACATTGGGCTCACAAAGGAGTCCAGGTTGCATAGGTAGTGTTGCAGATGTAGCACACAGAGCAATGATCACAATCATTACAATTAGCATAAGAACATATTGGACAGAAGACTAGAGAAGGAAAATTGATGAAAAGACAAGGACAAAGACAAAACTTAAAAAAAAAAAAAAATCGCAAAAGGGCTCCAGGGCGACCACAACAGAATCGATCCTCATATCGGCAGAAGGGACTGGTCAAATCTCGATGGTTGGGCTGTAGCCAGCCAGGGACGCCATATCCGCAGGAATTTTGTATGGGTATCCAACAGTATAGCCGTCAGTTTTTCATTAACCATTATGAAGTTCATCCGATTTTTGACAGCCTCGAAGCTGAGGAGAGGAGTCTTCCAAGCCCTCGCAATTGTCAATTTAGTAGCCATAAATAGATGTGATGCCAGCTGCGGTTCAGGACGTAGAAGGCCCTCCAGTGGTTTAAATAGCAGCGCTTCGTACGCTTAATGTCCGTGTGAAGCATAGTGCGGAGAAGGGCATAAACCCTAATCCACAATCTGCTAACCTTAGGGCAAGTCCACCAGCTGTGGACCATAGTACCCAATTGTTAGCACCCCCGGAAACAAGCCGGAGAATATGTAGGGATAAAATTAGCTAGACGAGCAGGCATATAATACCATCGATAAAGAATTTTGTAGGCATTTTCGAGAATGATGACATTCCTAGAACATTTAGATAATGCTTGAGTCCGCCAACTTGTTCATTCAATGCCTAGAAGACTTGGTGCTGTCCTTACAAATCATGGAGGTCATACAAGATACTAGATATACTAGTTTTTGTTGTGGGGTGTATTCATTTTTGCATCATCTAATTTGCGTAAAACGAAAGATTTTGTAATCTAAGTTATATTATTAACCTTACTTTCATGTAATGAGCTAAACAAATGTTCTATAAAACACAGTTTTGTCAACATTTTGGAAATTGTTCTTGTGTTCATTGAAACATTGATTAAAATCTGACTTTTCAAAAGGGGTGTACTCATTTATGCTGAACAGTGTATATATAGTATATGGTTGGTAAAGGTTCGGTTGCATGACAGATTATAAACAACTGGGGACTACTAGACGAAGAGTACATAGGCTGGCTCTGAGTTCCAGTGCCACACAACAGTTTTGGCTAATGAAAATCTGTGATCTAAGCTGGTTGGACAACCTCCCCATCACTACTAATCTTGTCTTCAGGTTTTCGCACAAAGAAGAACACAACATTACGATCATCTTCAGGGGTCCCTGCAACTGAACTCTGCTGCAACTGAACTCTGCTGCAACATTCATCTGGAAGTATCCTATTTAACTGCTTTACCTCCACTGTATAGCAGAAATACTGCTACAGGGCGGCAGCTCTGTGCAAAATCACGTATATATACGTGATTTTGCAGTATCTGGGTAGGCCACGGCTGTCAATCACCGTTAGTAAACAAAACAGTTCTCCTCCGTGTCAGCTCCTGCACACTACTTTGCACGGCTGTGCACAGCACAGCCGTGCAAAGCAGTGTGCTTACAGTGAAGCACAAACACAAAACATCAAGTAAAACGGCACACAGCACACAGTTAACCCTTTGATCGCCCCACATGTTAACCCCTTCATGCCTAGTGCCATTAGTACAGTGTCAGTGCTTTTTATTAGCACTGATCACTGTATTGGTGTCACTGAGGATGTCAGTGACACCAAGTCAGTTCCCCCCAGTGTCAGAATGCCCGCCGCAGTCCCACTATAATTCGCTGATTGCCACCATTACTAGTAAAAGAAAAATAAGCCCAGTATATATGCCGCCATTTGTAAACGCTATAACTTTCACATAAACCAATTAATTTACACGTATTGGGATTTTTATTTTTTTTAATTTTTTTACTGGACATGTTTCATAGCAAAAAGTCAAAAATATTGTTTTTTTCTCAAAATTGTCTTTTTTTTTTTATAGCGCAAAAAATTAAAACCTGCACAGGCAATCAAATACCACCAAAAGAAAGCTCTATTTGCGGGAAAAAGAGGACATAAATTTTATTTGGGTGCAGTATTGCATGACCGTGCAATTGTCAGTTAAAATAACACAGCGCCGTACCGCAAAAAATGGCCTGGTCAGGAAGGGGGGGGGGGGGTAAATCCTCTGTAGGGCAAGTGGTTAATAACTATATATACCCCAGTAAATGTGCCCAATTCTACCAGGACTCTTGTTGGGTTCTTTGCTGAAAATACCTGTTTGTACATTAGATGTATGTACTATTATTAATCTTTTCTTATATAAAGCTTGCATTATTTACATACTGGTTTGCATCTATATAGCTATGGTTAATGTTATATGTTGATTGCAGTAGTTCTTCTGCTCCCAATGACTACATTTCCCATCCCTTCTGTTCACAGAGGCCCTGTCCTGGGAGGGGGCACTGGCAGAATTATTATCACGCCCACTCTTCTATTTAGCAAAGGTTCTGGTTCTCTTATTTACTTAGTATTCTCGCAATATCTTGTTTAGGGAGGGCCTATTCTCATACCCCCCCCCCTCCAAAAGAGGGCTGTACTAACTTTCCATTCCCTGTTCTGTACTGTGTCTCTGTGAGGATGTGGCCATCTTGGTAGCGGCAGTGTTTTGCTTCCTCATGTCAGATCCTCCAGCACAGAAAACACTGAGCAACAAAGTAGCGATATCACCAAATCTCACTTTTCCTAAGAATATTCCGTAACAGCTGCAGTGCCTTATGTCTCACACTACGCATACACCGCTATAAGGCTGTAGGTACTGGAGGCCTAGGCACTCTCACATGAAGAAGTGCACTGCTGTCTTTCAGGATGATTTCAAGACAAAGGATACATTTTTATGGTACTGCTTAGACACAATAAACATTTCTAAATGTTACCAAAACTTATCAAATCTTCACATTACAATCAAATCTGCTTTAACCACTTCTCGTCCGGCCCATGTAGATAAACGGCCGGACGGGTTGTCGTTTCTAAACTTCACCCCACATTCATTGCCTATGCGCGCTTCCTGGGAATGCCCGTCACTGCGATCGGTTGCCTGCTGTGTCCTCTGGACACAGCACAACACAGATCGCTGTACGGGACCTCTGTGCGAGGTCCCGATCATGTAATCACTGATTGGCCAATCAGTGATCACATGAATAGCAGTAAACAAGATGTCACTTCTGACATTGCTTACTACGTGTGAAATCTGTGAATGATCACAGAGGTCACATGGTACAAGGCTATTCACAACAGCCTTGTACCATGTGATAAGCTGTGACCAATCACAGCTCTCATAGTATTTCTCAATGGCTGCAAGAATGCAACCAGAGAGAAGGAGAAATGATTGCTTTTACAGCCTTTATGGGTGTAAAAGCAATCAGTGTAAAAAAAGAAAATGTTCATCACCCCCCACAAATAGTACAGTGTCACTATGGCGACACTGTACTGCTAGGGTAGCAGTATGTTTAAAAAAAAAAAAACCATAAATAATAATATAAAAAAATAAAATAAAATGTAAAAAAAATTTAGAAAAATTATAATTTTAGGTTATAAACTAATTTGGGTTTTTGTTTTTTTTTTTTACTAAAAATATAGATGAATACATTTTGGCCATGATTTATGAAGAAAGATTATTTATTTGCAAAATTTTATAAGAAAAACACATTTTTCAAAATTTTTGGAATTTTTCATTTATATACAGTGGGGATCGAAAGTTTGGGCACCCCAGCTAAACATTTGTATTAATGTGCATAAAGAAGCCAAGGAAAGATGGAAAAATCTCCAAAAGGCATCAAATTACAGATTAGACATTCTTATAATATGTCAACAAAAGTTAGATTTTATTTCCATCATTTACACTTTCAAAATAACAGAAAACAAAAAAAATGGCGTATGCAGAAGTTTGGGCACCCTGCAGAGTTAATATCTTGTACTGCCCCCTTTGGCAAGTATCACAGCTTGTAAACGCTTTTTGTAGCCAGCCAAGAGTCTTTCAATTCTTGTTTGAGGTATCTTTGCCCATTCTTCCTTACAAAAGTCTTCCAGTTCTTTGAGATTTCTGGGCTGTCTGTCACGCACTGCTCTTTTAAGGTCTATCCATAGATTTTCAATTATGTTGAGGTCAGGAGATTGTGAAGGCCATGGCAAAACCTTCAGTTTACGCCTCTTGATGTAATCCCCCGTGGATTTCGAGGTGTGTTTAGGATCATTATCCATTTGTAGAAGCCATCCTCTCTTTAACTTCAGCTTTTTCACAGATGGCATCAAGTTACCATCCAAAATTTGCTGAAATTTTATTGAATCCATTTTTCCTTCTACTCGTGAGATGTTCCCTGTGCCACTGGCTGCAACACAACCCCAAAGCATGATTGATCCAACCCCATGCTTAACAGTAGGACAGAGGTTCTTTTCATTAAATTCTGTGCCCCTTCTTCTCCAAACGTACCTTTGCTCATTCCGGCCAAAAAGTTCAATTTTAACCTCATCGGTCCACAGAACTTGTTTCCAAAATGCATCAGGCTTGTCTATATGTTCATTTGCAAAGTTCAAACGATGATTTTTGTGGTGAGGAGGTAGAAGAGGTTTTCTTCTGATGACTCTTCCATGAAGACCATATTTGTACAAGTATCTCTTTATAGTGGAATAGTGTACCACAACTCCAGTGTCTGCCAGATCTTTCTGGAGGGATCGTGCAGTCAAACGCGGGTTTTGAATTGTTTTTCTCACAATCCTGCGAGCTGTTCTGTCTGATATTTTTCTTGGTCTTCCAGATCTTGCTTTAACTTCCACTGTTCCTGATGACTGCCATTTCTTAATTGCATTCCGAACAGAGGATATTGACATCTGAAAACGCTTTGCTATCTTCTTATAGCCTTCTCCAGCTTTGTGAGTGTCAACTATTTTCAGTTTCAGTTTTCTAGACAACTGCTTAGAAGAACCCATGGTGCTGATTGTTGGGGCAAGGTCAGATGAGTCTGGGCATTTAAAACCTTTGAGATTGACATAACCTGGTCTTCCCAGACGATGATTGAGAACAATCCATGACACTGGCAGGTCTCAGCTTTGCAAAGGGGGCAGTGCATGCTATAAATTCTGCAGGGTGCCCAAACTTTTGCAGACGCCATTATTTTGTTTTCTGTTATTTTGAAAGTGTAAATGATGGAAATAAAATCTAACTTTTGTTGACATATTATAAGAATGTCTAATCTGTAATTTGATGCCTTTTGGAGATTTTTCCATCTTTCCTTGGCTTCTTTATGCACATTAATACAAATGTTTAGTAGGGGTGCCCAAACTTTCGATCCCCACTGTAGCAAAAAAATAAAAAATCCCAATTGTGAATAAATACCACCAAAATAAAGTTTTATCTGTCTCAAAAAATCCTAAAAAATTCATATGGGTGTTGTAGGACCACACAATTGTCATTCAGTGTGATAGCACTGAAAGCTGAAAATTGGCCTGGACTGGAAGGGGGTGAAAGTGTCCGAACTTGAAGTGGTTAACAAAATGTGGTCTCTCCGGGAGATATACAACTAAATTCAAAGAGGTCATTATTATTCAATATTATGTTCCAGTTCTATGCAATGGGAGAGTTTCTGTTTTGAATACCCTTTATTCTAGTCTTTTTTGGATCATGTAAAAGGCAATGAATTAGCTGAATACCTGTGGTATGTTCAAGTGTGGGTACATCAGATGTTTGTTGTGATCATGTGGGCAATTCCTGACAAATTATATCAACCACAACAGGGAGAACATTTCTTATTACACAACTAGTAAATTGTAATTGCAAAATATGTTGGTTATGTTATGACATGGGGTTCCATGATGCAAATGTTCGGAATGGATTTTCTCTTTGAATTCCTGCCTACCTCTAGGTGTAAACTTTGAACAGGATGTCTTACATTATTAGGCCTCTTGCGCACTGCAGCTTGAAAAAGCTCAGTACGGCATTTGTTTTTTGTTTTTTTTTACTGAGGTCAAATGTAACCCATTATTTAAAAAAAAATGTGCCTTTGCACACAGGCACGTAAATAAGTGCTGCGTATTCCTCAGTAATGGGCAGCACAGTGGCTAAATGGTTAGTACTTCCGCCTGGCAGTACTAGGGTCATTGGTTTGAATCCCAACCACGGCACCACCTGCCTGGAGTTTGCATGTTCTTCCTGTGCCTGCGTAGGTTTCCTCCGGATACTCCGGTTTCCTCCCACACTCCAAAGACATGCTGGTAGGTTCATTGGCTCCTGTCTAAATTAGCCCTAGTATGTTTATGTATGTTAGGGACCTTAGATTGTACACCCCTTGAGGGTTAGGGGACTGATGTGAATGTACAATATATCTGTAAAGCGCTGCGTAAAATGACGGCGTTATATAAGTACCTATCATAAATAAATGAAAAAAAATAGTAAAATCTGCATTTTCGGTCAATAATTTACACTGCGTATGCTTGAGTACATGCAAATACGTATAAATATTATTGAATTTCCCTCATTTTTGCACGAAAATGCAAATACACTTGTAAATACGCATGAATACCAGTAAAACAAGCCTGAAATGGCATTAAAAAAAGCCCAAACATCAGTACCGTGTGCAAGAGGCCTTACAGATGAGAAAAAAAATAGAAAGAGTGATACGCACTGAAACAGTATGGCACTGCCCCACTCTGCTTGGCAAAACAGGTACCAACCTGCATACTGAAATGGAGAGCTTTAGCATGCTAGCATGGAATAGCCCTAATGGCAAAATTGCAATAAAAATTCTGATTAAAAATTAAACATAATTTTTTAGCCATTGTAAAGGTTCATAACCTTAAAGCGGAGCTCCAGTCCCCAGAAGAAACTTTTTTTGAAAGCAGACCCAGGATTGCCTGTTAACATTAACAATTGGATATAGTTATTAGTTATAGCCTTCTAATTACTTTTAAATATTTTAAACTTTACTTGGATCTCGGAAGCAGGCAGGCGCCATGATAGCTGTGGGCATCTGAAGCCCGCAAGTCTTTACTTCCTGGATTGGTGCTGCTGGCTATCCCAGCATGCACCACTTGATCTCGTGCCTGCTCAGTACTGACACTGCTCGGCGCTACTTGTATACTACAGGTTGCCTTAACAATGGTGGGGACGGCGGAAGTTCCCCACACAGGACTCAGGTACAATGGTGCCAAACTCCTCCCATTCATGTCATTTCCTGTTTCGAAGTCAATAGGAACCCAAAGGACTCCTGGGATACAGAACCCAACATCCCAGGAGACTTTGCGATTCGCCTTAACACATCATCGCCTACGCGGCCTAGACCGGATCTGCAGTCCTGAAACTTGATTTAAAGGTATTTATAATACAGAAAAAAAAAGTTTATCCAAATCATGCTTTACAACACAGGTACAATATAAATAGAGACACTTGTCGAGATATAAAAATGGGTGGAACTCCACTTTAAAATGTTACTAAATCCACAGCAGTAAAATCAGACTGTATATGCAGTAAAGCATGCTTGTTATATTCACTGCAGAAACTAAGGGGTTAATCCTCTGCATTGCTTACAAATGCTGTTTGATCCTGACTTCTCCGATCCTCCTCTTCTTCCAGTGTCTTCCTCTTATCTCCTGATGGAGACACTCTGCACATGCTCAGTTTAGTGTGTATTGCTAGAGAGGTTTTTTTTCTTGGGAGAGTGCATGTGATCAGCACAGGGCCAATCAGCACAGTCCAGACAGAGGTTTGGGGTCCTACATCCTGATAGAGCAGAAAGAAAACCCCTCCTATCAGCTTTAACATGTGCTCTACTGGACACTGATAGAAGTCACAAGACTGCTCTAACTGCCGATGAGAAAAGGTATTTAGCAGTTTATATTTACTAAAATAATTGCATTTCCATGTAGTGTGTACTGTGGGAGACCAGATATAGTGAATGCAGGGTCCTGGGTTTAATAACATGTTAAAAACCTTTTAATGTCATAGTCAAAGAATTTCAGTGAAAGACCATAAAATAAAGAAATACACATGAAAAATGACATGTACATGGAGAGCAGCCTGATGAGCTCAAAATGTTCTTTCCAAAGTATATACTAATTTGTACCAGGGAATGTCAGCTGACAGGTGACAGGTGATGTTACTAAGCTTACCAGAATACTGACTGAGGGCTCATATCTCTTATATTGGTAACCCCAGGCCTCATTCACATAGTTGGTGTACGATGAATGCAGCTTACTGCCTAGCATTTTCTTGTCTAATGATTAGAGCACTTTTAAAACATCAAACAACAAAGCCATAAATTTTGGCAGGCTACGAATGCACCACAC